TCCCGCAGCAGGAACCGCCGCCCGCCCGGCCGCGAGTGTCCTGCGGCATCACCATCATCATCATCATCACTGTCATCATCATCATCACCATCACCCCCATCAGGCCCGCGCTGCCCAGCGCTGTGGGATCGCACCCCTCGATCCTGCCTTGCTCCCTCACGAGTGACCCGCAGCAGCGCGGGGCTTTAATGGGGTGCTGTGACTGTTCAAAGAGGGAAAATAGAGAACATGGAAGTGAAACAGCTCCGTAACGCTCAGGAGCAAGCTTCGGCATCCCTGGGAAACTCAGCAGGGGCTGCTGGCTCTGGCCGGCTTTTGCCGTGCCCGGGCTCGCAGCCTGAGCTCCATCTGCAGAGAGCTTGGTGAGAGGATCTCACAGCCACACCCAATTAATGTGGGAAGTAATTTCAGATGTATGGGTAGAACACAGTATTAAGTTTACTGCACTCAACTATTGATGTTATGTTCTGTTCTAAGCACTTTGATAAATAGTTTTTAAGAAAGCTCCTACTTTGTCATTTTTCTCAAATTGAGACTTGAAGCCTCTGCTGCTTCACTTTATAAATGAAAGTGTAATTTTTGGTCCTAAGAAGCTACCTTTACCTTCTCTTAATGCTGATCTTGCTGAATTCTACACATTAGGCTGTTAGCTCAATTTTTGTGTTGTAAAATACTATTCCTTTTAGTTCTTTCCATGAAAAAAAAAGTCGATGAGTTTTGTGGCATCTTTCACCTGCAGTTCTAACAAATGTTTATGAACAAGGCAAAATAGGTAAAGAATTCTTGCTTGCATCTCTGAAATGATTCTGTGCTGGATGCAGAGGGGATAAATGGTTGAATAGAAACAGGATTTCAGTGGCATTCCAGTATTCACTTTCTTTCCTGAGTGTTTCCTGGGCAGGGATGTAAAATACAGGGAGGCCAAGTGAGGGACGGCAGTGCCCAGTGGTTCCTTGCTGTGCATCTATTTCAGGAGGATCATGTGGACAATGAGCTGGGTTTTCCATGAGCCTGAGCACTGCAGCAGGGTTTGGGTTCCCCAGCCACGGTTGCTCCGTGTCTCAGCCCCAGCGCTGGCAGAGAGCTGTGGGGCTGGGGCTGTGGGATGAGCCCGAGCTGAGCCCTTCCAGGGTTCAGCATTTCAGGGGGCAGCAGGTGGGCAGTGCTGGAGGAGGGGACGGTCGGCAGGGACATGGGAAGCACCAGCATTCCCTGCCAGAGGAGAATCTGGTGGAATACAAGGGCTGGAGAGGGACCTCTGGACAGGAGTGTCACAGCGGGTAAGAGGGAAGGTGTGCAGGGGAACAAAGACCAGAGCCTGGAGCCAGGATGGGATGGGAGGTGCTGGGTGGGAAGAGGGGCTGATGGCCTGAGGAGCTTGCCTGGGCTGCCCAGTGAGCAAGGCCCCAGTGATGGGAGGCACCGAGTGAAGCAGCACGACAGGCACTGCCTGCAAAGTGGAAACCAGGAAGCAGAGGTGCCAGTAGCAATGAAAAATCAAGTGGCATTACTACAATGAGAAAGTATTATAAATTGCAACTTTCCTTCTTTCCCTTTTACATAGTGAAATAAGTGATGTTTTTGTTTTTCAGATAAAGCTCAGTGCTGTATACAGCTAGTGTGGAGTTATGCACAGTAATAGAGATAAAAACCTGCAGTGGAGCTGTGTTTATAACACGTGCTTCATGGCCCAGGCAGCAGCACTTACACATAAGCACATCACAAAGAATCTAATTGGCACTGGCAGGGGGTACTGGTGTGCAAGATGTTGAGTGCCTAAGACCCTCGCTCATATTTGTGAGCATATACTTCATCTTAAGAGCAGATCAAACCCACAGGTGTGATTGTTCCTATGCTTAAAATCAAATGTGTTTTAAAGGCTGAATCAGGATGAGGGTGCTCAGCTTTTGCTGGCTCAAGGCTTGAAAGTTGTGATAAAATAGTGAGAAGGATTTTCCCTGGGACATCTGTTTCAACCTCTTAGCCCAATTTAAAAATGTTATCCAATACTACCATAACTTTCTTTATTAATTGAAAGGGATAGCGATATACCAGCTGTAGCCAAGCCAGCAGAGATTTGGGTGGCTAAGCAACAGAAAAGGCATCATATTGAGTGAGCCAAAATTCAGTCTCAAAGTCATTTACTTTAACCAGTGACAATACGTTTAGACTCTAGTGTTTCGATTTGATTGATGGTTTAATATCATATATAATCTTTTTAATGAAGGAACCCATTTAAATATGTTAACATTTGCACTAGTAGTCTCCCATGTACATAACTGCATTTAATCATTACTCTGATTGTTTTTGTGGTTGTGTAATTTGCATCAGCAAAATAACTATGTCAAAGCTGTGTTATATTAATGAAAGCTACAGTTGCTTCTCTTTTATACATGCTTCTTAC